CCCTCCGAGTTGTTCTCTGGAATCCTATAGCTGACGCCCAGTTAACCGCTGATAGCTTTAATGATTTCCTGTCCAAAACGTTCATTGAAGACTCGACCACTCCGCTTCCGACCAACCAGCCATTGACCGGTGTAGTTATAGAGACTATAACTTTCACTCTGTGGGATATGACTTGCGATTCGGCGTGTTGGTGAATCTTATAGTCCAGGACCTGATGATGTACCAGTAGGCATTTTAAAAGCCGATGCAAATACGATTTTCCCATCCCTCTTATGCAAGATATTTAATCTCGCTCTTGAAAGTGAAACTTATCCTGCCCTGTGGAAGGAATCACACATTTTGCCCATTCATAAGCACGGCAAATCTACGTCATTTGATGACTTTCGGCCAATAAACACTCTCCCTGCAGTTCCGAAGACCTTAAAGACATTGATCAAAGAGAAGATGATGTGTCACTTATCAGTGAATAACCTACTGAGTGTTGCTCAGCATAGATTCCTCAAAGCTCGATCTTGTGACACCTGTCAACTCTCTTTCTTTGACTATGTTCTCCAATATAGGGACCATGGTTTTGCACTTCACACAGTATATTTCGATTTCACTAAGGCATTTGATCGTGTTGACCATGCTCTTCTTCTCTTGAAACTGTCCTCTTTCGGAATAGGTGACAAACGTTTGAATCTTATATCCTCTTACCTGGGCCCTCATACACAACGCGTTAAGATTTCCAATAATACATCCAACCCCACACGTGTGAGAAGTGGAGTCATTCAGGGCAGTGTACTCAGCCCGTTTTTATTTTGCCTTTTCGTTAATGATGTACCCGATTTATTTCAGAATGGTAAGCCTTTCATGCATGTCGATGATCTTAAAGTTGCATATCGATATAAGCCGGCAGATCGTGACATCGTGCTTGAGCTCCTAAAGATCGACCTACAGGCTTTCGCCCAGTGGTGCCGCACATGGCGCCTTTCTCTTTCTTGGCATAAGTGCTCAGCCATGGTGGTTGGCGACAACCGCCAACCTCAACTAAGTATTGAAGGCCACGCCATAAATGCGCCTGGGGTTATTAAGGATCTGGGCGTATCATACTCCAAGTGCCTCAATCTCTCGGAGCACTGTGTCTTAGTAGTCTGCAAAGCACGTACAACGACCGGGTTTATCTTCCGAAACTTTAAAACTAGGGACATTATAATGCGCCTTTATAATATGTACGTTAGACCTGGTCTGGAATACGATTCGTTTTTATTTAACCTCATGTGTGCCACTGAGCGGGAGAAAATAGAATCCGTTCAACTCTTTTTACCAAGATAATTTTAACCCCGGAACACCGACATCTGTCTTACCAAGAACGTTGCCGGCTTACTGGCCTTGATCCTTTATGGTTCCGTAGATTACAAAAGGGACTATTGTTGCTATTTAAACTCTTATATAATCGCACATTTAACGCACTCACCTCTTTAAGACATCGTATCCCCCCACGACGCAACAGTCACCGTGAGGTCTTTTTATTTCTTCCTCTGGCACGTACTGTTAAATATCGTCGGTTATTTTCTGTAAATGCTATTGCCATTTGGGATAAACTACCCATGAGTGTGAATAATCTGCAAAATTATCCTTTATTTAATAGAAATATTACTCGATTTTTGCATTCAGAAAAGCTATCACAAATTTTGGGTGCTGAATCCACTGATCGACTGTACCGTAACGATGACGTTTGTGGTCTCCGAACACTAGGACCGGTCTCACCAGGGACAATTTCTTTGGCCAACAGCGACAGCTGTTCCTCAACGCCTCTACTTTGACTATCCCTAACTTCATGAAAGAAATTGGCAACTAATAATATCTGATACCATGCAAACCCTCCCATCTTGACGGTCGAAAGTTTGCCGCCAGCAGTTTTTTGCTCCTGAACACTCCAAACCATAAAACCACCATTAACTATATTTTTATCCCTTTTCCACAGGACTTTTTTTTCACTGCGGGCCGGATTTGTGTTTAACGCTTCCCTGACAATGCCTGTAAACTGGCATTAAATAAAAATGGCTATTGTCTCACCCTCATGAGGCTTAGAAACAACCGTCGTCTTCCCAGTCAAATGCTCACCACTTCGGTCATAGTACAAGTAACCGTGAAAATTCACTTAATACTACGCCTGCGAAATCGAACTCGTTGTCTTTTTCTACTCCTAAACCACCGTCTCACTCAAGCCACCTAACGCTTTTGTCTGTCTCCAAATAAGCAGCAGCCCATGTGTTGTTCCTAATCTTTTCAATGGCCCTTATAGAACGTCCCAGATCCGTCTACATCAATTAAACCGATAACTTTTCACTTCAGCAAGGTCCCCCGAGTTCTCTATTTAAGTCACCTGAGGCATGGTGTCAGAGCCGTGTGATCCCAAAGGTGAATCCGACTCTGATCCAAAAGAAATGTAGCGTAGCTGCATTCGGTGAGATGCCGCCTTCTCTTAAATTTACTAAACCTTTACAGCCAAACTCGTCTATAAACCCTATAAATCCAGTTATACCTCCAAATGATTCTTTGTTCCCAATACCGGCCACTAACTAAAGCCCTATTATCCTTCCGATATATAGTCCTTGCGTGAGTTGCCCTAAGTAATTTATCCCCAATATGACTGGCAATCTCAAGATATGATTTAATAAACTCATTCTATTCTAGTCTAACCTATTTAAGGCTTCCCACCACTTAGGGCCAATAGTTCCCAGGTGAGTCAACCTAACTGCATTAACTTCCATCCTAGACCTGCTTTCCCCCACCTATTAGTCTCTTCCTCTCTTCTAGGCTCCCTCATCCCCAAGTTGACTCCCAAAAAGCCAACTCCTGTTTTCACTGTCTTAGTAAATCCTTTAATCTGTCTGAAAGCTATATCCCTACATCGTTTGGGTCTCCCGCTCAGTCATTTCTTGAAAACTCATAATATGTCAATAATTCTGCACTCACTGATAATTATTCCTCAAATAACAATCATTTACGACTTATATATCCACCTCCAGATTTTATTTCTAAATACCGTGGACAGTAGTCATACTGCTCGAAACACATTTCATAGTATACGATTAAGTGTCAGGTCTGTCATAAACAATATGGTTCAAATCAGAGGCATTTCTCTCGAGATGGTGTCCGATATTATATGTGAAGCAGATATCTGGACCCATTTTCTCATTCCTGACTCTTCCCTTTTTTAAGATAACTTTGGTTTCTACCGCCAAGACCGCAGAGATAGATGCGGAGGCTGTTGCCTTCATTATCTTAGATGCTACCTAAAGCAAGCTCCCTATTACCCGGACGCCTTCCCATTCACGACAAACTTCTGCTTTACATCTATTATTCTTTCGCCGCAAAGAAAGGTAATTACTGGCAGACTACAATCCCCAAACCTTTTAAGTTAGTGACGATGCACAACTTTATGAAAGCCTTCAATTAGTTTTGGAATGTGCTTTCGATGTCCAGATAATCACTGGGGATTTTAACCTTCATGAAATAGATTGGCTCTCAAACATCTGTTGGCCTAAATTTCAACCTTTCCAAGATATTATCAATCCTTCTACCTGGTATCAGTTTGTGCGTTCTGAAAAGAGATAATCATATTTGAGATCTACTCTTTACCACCGATATTGTTTCTTCTTTCGTTGCTTTCCAGAAGGACCGTTTTGAGAGTGACCAGGTATTAATTTATTGTTACCTACCGCTTGCCTTTTCTAGGAAGACAGCACAGTTTGAGCCTAGCTAAGTTACGATTGCGAAGACAACGACTTAAATAATATTCCATACTGGATCATTGGACTTGCGTGGCTTTCGCTCCTACAATTATGTGGCAGTTCTTTTTGGCAACATTTCCAACGTTTCCAAAGGAATCTTAGGATTTGTGCCTCGTAGATATCTCAAGACTAACACCTAGGGCTCCCTTGCTCCTCGCTTTCTTTTTAACAGACTTAAAAATCTGAGACGGCGGCCGCGTGACTCTTCCACTAATTCTTTACCTGTTCATCTAAGAATGACGGTAATTTTCGAAATGGCCTCTAGGATGCGCAAAGTGTGCGACAGGCACAGAGAATCACTTACCCTCAGTGATCTGGGCTGTACCAAATCCGTCCTATAAATCTTTCGCCATCGATCATCCTCTAAGCGTTGTCACGAAGTTCCACCCATCCCAAACAATGACAAAATCGTCCTCAGCGATGATACCCTCAAGGCGGAGTTGTTTAATGCATTCTTTGCAAAACACCTTTCTACTAAGTATAAACCAGCTCCTTCTCATATTGCCCAGTCCTTTAGTCTCGGTTCATATTTCTAGCGGATTTTTCTCGGAAACATGGAAGACGTCAATTATCATTTCTGTCTTCATTCCGAATCTCGGTCTTGATTTCTTTCTGGCTAATCAGCATGGATTTTTACCTGGACGATCATGCGGAACTTGTCACTAGACCTTTCTTAATCTAATCACTTCTCAGGAATCAGTGTTAGTTATTTACTTTTATTTTAAGAAAGCCTTCGGCAGGGTGCCACAGAGACGTCTTTTGGTAAAATTGGAATTCCCCGGTAT